AGTGCAGGACCCTGCACTTGGCCTTATTGACTATGACTGCCCTTAGTAACTTAAACTATGCTTCCTCCCTCAGTCTCTTCTCTGAGGTCTTCAGAGCTTCCTGTTGTTACTATATGATCCAAGACCAAGTGAATGCATGCATTCAAGCCATGTGTTTTAAGATATGAGTGCACACCCCTCAATGGCCTCTGCCAGCCACAGCGCTTGTGCATAGGGTAGCTGTGCTGTATTGGCAGTGGCGTTGACATACTGGCTGGGGCAGGCAGTCTGCTGTTTCCACACTTTACAGAGTCATCTCTAGCTTTTCAGGGAGGAAAGTTTCCGTCTTGATTGAGTAAGTTAAGCTTTTCTAAGGCCTTTCATGTATTTAAAGAAACTGAAGAACTCAGTTTCAAAACCTAGACTCCTGGAGAAAGCCTTCATACCACACTTGTTAGATGAGCTATTGCCAACCATATTCTTCCTTTTCAGCAAAAGGGAAGTCCAGCATGCGTTTTGCCTCACCCAGTGTGATTTCACAGGCAATGGCACTGGCACCAATACTTGGAAATTAGTAGTTCCTTTGGCCCTTCGTATGCCTGCATGGCAGACTCCAACTGCATTATTCCTTGGCTACTAACGGAGATGCCTCAGGTTGTTAACTGAGCTAACTTGGACACTGGAGCTAGTCTAGCCGAGACAAGCAAAGTGGTCTGTGAAATGACCATTAGTCATTCTAAGCTGGCTTCCATACACTTGGCTCAGGCAGCCGTGTATTACCATGTGCTCTGTAGTTCAGGCTTATCTGAAAAATCACCTGTCCCACTTCCTAGCAGCAGACAAGGCAGCAAGTGATGAACAGAATCCATGTGCATTTTTTCAGCTTCTATGCCACATGGTGTGGCAACATCCCAAGGCTAATTCTGAGCCTCTAAGGCCCAGAAAGCAAAACACTATTTGATTTGAATGTGCTTACAACCAACTCTGATGCTCACAGAACTTCTTACCTGGCAGCTATCTGTGCCACCGTGAATATTCCCAGCACAGAGCTCGTGTTTTTTGACTCTACCATTCAAAAATTCAGGGCGGTTGCATATTTTATTCTCGATTACAGGGAACCCAGTTTCCTTTAAGTATCCATCACCACCAGTTCCTTTGTGAATAAAAACAAAACACAATAAATGGCAAAGGTAAATGAACATCTTCACAAAACAAACAGCAAGGTATGGATAAGCAGTAAAATAAGTGTAGTGTTTATGCACTATGCATATACTTTCCACGCGTAATAAGAAGTGATACCAAAATCAGTAAGCATTATCCGCATCATGGTACCTATCACCCTCTACCATCCATCAAAATCCACACTGAGATGACTGTTTCCTGCTTCCACAGTACATCCATATGGATCCAGCACCCACTGATATTTGTGGGAGTCATTTCCAAGCCATTTTATTCACCTGTATCTGAGTTTTCTTCTCTGTGAAGGAAAGGAGTTAGGAAGTAAACAGACAGTTGAAAATGGCATGATAGGCAGAAGCAAGGAGGCAGACAAGGTACTGATGCTCTTCTCAACCAAGACAGAATGGGAGGCTTTAAAAATGAGAGTATGTTTATATTTGAGTGAGATCTGAACCAGGCTGGTTGGGAGTAAAATCATTCAAAATGAGCAAACTCGCCTCCATGTGATTAAGAAATAGCCTAAATCTAGAAAAACTTTCCTACTGACTGCTTAAAAGCCCACTTTGGAGAAAAGCAGAGTGGCCTGATTCTCCTCTTTCAGTATTGGTTTAGGGGGTTTCTGTTTACATGGCTCTGAGTGATTTGGTAGAATCACTAAATCATCTAAATCAGAGGAATACAGTGGAAAGAATGGCTGTACCTGACGAATTGTGATGAAGTAGGCATGCATGCAAGCTTGTGTGGGGTGTTTATGGCACAGAGAAAATACACTTTTGGGTACAAGTATGTAACAATCTCCAAACACAGAGTTTTCAGATGTGCTAACGCTGTCTTACCTTTTGTGTCCCCCCAGCCCGTCACATAGCACTCCTCTCTTCCTCCTAACACAGCATTTTCTTTTGGCAAACAAACCGGGATGACATGATTATTGATGACTGCTGGGCTGAAAGAAACAAACAAAAGGCTCATACAGGAACAATCATTAGCACATTTATCCTTAATACCACCTCCAGGTTTCTAAAAAGGTTTTATATAAAGTCAGAGCCCAAGTCAGTCTGACTTGCCTTTGGGTCCAGCTAAGATAAGGCTCGATTAAGAAGCCACATTAATGTGCTGACCCTGTGCCTGTTTTGGACCTGCACTGCAGCTGCAGAAATCAAAGCACAAACACTGTACGTTCACATCTCCTTGCAGTTGTACGGACATACTCCGTTGGATTGCGCAGTGTCTCGGTGGGAGTTTCAGATGAGTGGAAACATGCAAGAAGGGCCGCCCTGGGTGTTGCATCGAACATGCATGCTGTTTGCCTGTACACTGGACAGACCGGCTGGAAGAAGAAATCTCCCCACCACAGCATGGAAAAAGCGTGGGGCGACATCACGCCAATATTGCAGCTTTCAAATCCTCATTACCTCATCAAGGTAGGAGCATGCAGGCAGAAACACAGAGTGAAACCCCCTCGAGGCATTACCTCCCCTTCCTCTGCCACTGCCTCACCTCCCAGCACCTGAGACCCAGCGCATTGCCAGCCTGGGTCACTGCCCCTCGCCCTCCTCGCCTCCCAAAGCAGCCCTTCCCCTTTCTGAAGCCCTGCAGCTGAATCACCTTGGCTTCCACCGGAGCTTCTGCAGGCAGGTAAGAAAGAGAGGGTCTTAAACCGCTGATTGAACAGAGCGTGTATACAGACACGCATTCCCGCAACACCAGCCGCCCACTATTCAGTTAAAACACAGACAAACCAAACTTGTCCTGTCAGAACAAAGGAACACTTCAGGTGAAAGGGTACCTGCTCAGTTTCAGCAGAGCAATGTCCACCCTGTGTGGCTCCTTGAACAATTTCTCAACATCTCGTTTTTGGACTGATGCCTCTGATGCTCTTTCTCTGTGTAATCCAAGGTATACTTTATACGCAGATGGGCGTGAGGACCTATTGGAAACGATTGCACACGGTGAGCTGATGAACACATACCCAGGATGTAGATCAGTTATGATTTTATTGGACACCTTGCTCTGTCAAACTCAGAAAAATAAAGCCAGCTTTGGTGTAAACTTAATTTCTTAATCCCTTATCACGGCACATGAAATCAAGTTAGCAGAAGTTATCACTGTCACTCTTTGTTTCTCCAGCCAAAACTCTGCTTTAATGAATGATGAATAGGCTTGGCTCAATTCTCAACTGTTTGCTAGCTGAGTCGAGAGACAGCTCAAGTTGGCTCTTGGGCCCATCTTGTTTCTCCTCTGATTTTCTAGCCGGTGTAAAAAAAAACTGGTGGAGGCTATAACAGATACTTACTTCTCTAAGCAGTGAGCGGCAGTAAGAACCCACTGTGGGTCTATCAGAGTTCCCCCACAGAAATGCATGCCAAAACTGTAATAGAGCAGAAAGGCGTGAAAAGGGCATCGGTTTAAGGCAGGGCAGTTAATTCTAGTGCAGTTCATCAGGTAATCCTTCTCACATGTACACCTTTACAAACTATAGACCTTATTCTGCATTTCCATTAAGAATCAAACATTATACTTTCCTTGAACAATACTTCATACAATGACAGTAGTGGTGGACTATTTTATAAGGCCTTGTGTGAAAGCACCTAGATTTTGTTCCTAACCAGTATTTCTATTACTGTAAAACTTTATGTGCAGTGATGTATATCCGTTTAGAGATTCCAGCTTTTGTCTAGCTCTGATCACAGTCAGAAAGCTCTGCAACTGGCCTTGATTCCTGGTTTTACTAAATAACTTTGCCAGTAGGATCAAATGGTTATGTGGAAGGACTGATCGAGATCTGTACTAGCCATACTTCAAACTGTTGTTTCTACCCATAGGATACTGATTATACCATAGGGTATAGTGACAGACTAAAATTCATTCTTCCTTTTAGTGAAAGTGTTCTTTAAGTTAGCAGTTGTATTGATTCCATAGGTATTTATCACAAAACAGAATGTTCTTGGTTGTCTAAACTACCTTCTTTAAGACTAGCACACATAATTCTAAATCAAGTTTAGAATCCTGCAACCACATAATGTAGTATCCTGTGAGAGGCAAAGGCTCCTGAATGTAAAGTCTAATGTAATGGGGAATGGTCATACCTTGTCCGGAGGCTGATTTGCCAGGGCCAAGAGTGTGGATGCGAAATGCACCCAGCAACAATCCTTTGAGCACACAACTTTGGTCTGAACTTGGATTTTCCACACTCATACTGAGCAGGAGCTACAGAATAAGAAAAAAAAATCACTATAAGGAAATTTGGCATATTTGCTATACATTCATTATGCGCTCAGAAAACTAGGTGAACCTGTTACTTTATCACTTCAGCTTTTGATTCTCTGCAGGAAATTATATACCATGCACCACCTATATTTTGTTAGGTTGCCTTCATCTGGAACATTTAAAAATGCCTGGCAATTTTTTTTCGTATACACTTCTCAGTGGTCAGCAAATTACACATGAATAGATCTACAGTCAGATAGAAAAAACAGAAGGGGAAGGAGAAGGAAACAGAGAGCAATTAAAAATAAATCCTCCCAACATCTTTAAACGTACTCTTACAGATGCCAGCAATGCAAAAGCTGTACTGGAAGCTGTTTTCAAACTAATCTTGGTGGTACAGCATGTGAAATTCAATCATTGTCTCTGTGGAACAAAATTTTGTTCATTCTTATCGCAGGATCTTTTGGTACTTCAGATGTCTCTGAGTTATTAAAAAAGGGTAGTTCATATTTAGCCATGGGAGACTGACTTTAGCAACATGGAATTTAGAATTTGTTGTCAGCAAAAGGACCTAACTAATGAAATAAAAGGCAAAAGCCATGTTTTCTCTGTTTTTTAGGTGAACAACTGAACAAAAAAAAAATTTAAAAGAAATTAATACAATAACCATGTGAAAATGCCATTTTCCCCCCTAAGAGTCCCAGCCCGACACTTTCAATGTAGTAGTATTTTTACAGTTACAGTATGTGCATGTTTTAGAACACCTTTCTTTTTCTTGCTAGCTCCATTTTTGGGTTTTGATCGGAGCACATTTCCTGCTACTCACAGCTGAGAGCCACCCTTCTTCTGAGTGAGAACTACCTCTCTTTCTGGCATAGCTTTAGTTGTTGATGGACATGAAAGGACCTGAAACCAAAATGTTGTTAAACTTTATCATTGTACACTTGGTTGCACCACCTCGTTCAGAGTACGGAATGGCTTGATGGCTAATAACAAAGACAAGGGAATTTGGTTAAATATTTGGGGCCAGTCGTCTGATACGGTACAGTATCAGAGGAGGGAAAATCCGTTTTACGTCCAGGACAGAACTAGAGCCATGTGAGCAGGGGGTACAAAAATTTTGCTGGGATAGGAACATTCCTTGTTCAGCCTGGCCACACACACAGCTGTGCCAGGTGACCAGGCAGGAGCAGGGGACATTTCTGCAGGAACAGTCCTATTTTGGAACACATGGCAAAACCCCCATCAGCTTCAGTGGGCTCCAGGTACATCTTGTGCTGGGTTTAGAGCTTCCAAGGAATAAGCACCATTCTTAAGACTTCAGATGCAGACTTTGAGCATCACTTCCCTGCAGCCTTAATTGCCAATCTAAAGCTATTGCACTGTCTTAGAACAGTCTTTCAGATTTAACACTGAATGTCCTCCTGTTGTCATAAAAGGTTACAGGAAAGGGAGATACTAGTCTTTAAAGGAATAATTACGGCACTTGGGAATGTCACAGTACTCCCAGGCTTTTCTTGGGTCTGTTGTGTAGCACCAAGGTCCATTTACATCTCCATCAGGATTCCTGCAATACTGTAACAAAGAATAAAGACACCAGCTATTAACCAGGGGACAAAAAAGCCTATCAATAGATGTTTCAAAAAAAATGAAATTAAATTTGGAAAATATTTTTATTACTTCCTTACTGATAAGTGATTTCCAATTCCTTTTACCAAAATTTGTTTCATTTTTCTGTTTGCTCTGTGAGTTTAGAAAAAGATGATAAAAATGAAACTTCTTCAACTGTCTTCAGCCTGTAAGCTTCATCAGTGCAAGCCTGGACCTCTGAGCTCTTACAAAGCAGGAGGTTTTCTGAAGCACTGAACTGCCTATGCTTCCACTGCAGTTCGTGGGAGCAGTAGAGTCGGCCCCGAGGTCTTTTCACACCCACTCTGATTGCACGACTCCGGGGCAAGTGGGTATCGTGTAAGCTGCTCTTGCACAACTTGGTGATGCCTACGAGTCCCAGGGGCAGGGGTGCAGAGTTCGCCCTGACGCGGGATGCCCCCTTAGCTGAATCACTCTCTAGGTCTTACTGGCCGTACTGACTGATCTCTGCTCAGCAGACACCTCGCCCAACTGCATGCTACCAGATATTTTACTAGTTCCTTTCC